TTTTTTTTTTTTTTTTTGACATTCCATAAGCCTGAATTTCTTTACCTGGTTGTTGGTGTCATAGTTTGGTAGTTTAAACTACTGCAGTTGATTTAGGCGGTAAATATATACAGACCACATTTTTGCACATTCTGTAACTTTTGACCTGTTAGTTTACTGAAGTTTCTGTACTTTGTTCTATGGTACTTTAATATTAGTCAACGTTTACTACTGCTGTATTAAGCTGCTTGTAAACAGCTGTTTCTTTGGTCTATTTAAATTCTGTCTATTGTCAATTTTTCAGTTTTACATTGGTGCTATAGTGTTTTAAAGAGGAGGGTAAAGAGGGGGGAGGGGGGACTTATTCTACGGAAATACGATTACGATTAGGAGGCTAAGGAGAGAGAAGGCTGTTTTTTAGGATTTATGAGACTTTTGTTGTGTCAATATAATTTTCACCTTATATAACTCTCAATTTAAGTGCTATAAAAGAAAAATGAATTAGACAAGTAATGGTTGTCTGATAAAAGACGTTTTTTTCCGTAGATCGATGTTTTCAAAAATCTGGCAGTAAATTGTTGATTACTGAAGTTCATATGTATATCCGTTGATTGTCCTTGAAACGTTCACAAGTTCTTCCCTTGTTGAATTTTTTTCACCACTTTTTTTTTTCAATTATTTTCTCTTCCATGTACTATTGATGGATTTAATTTTGCTGTTTGTCACATTTATTGGCATTTTTTTAGCTATAAAAATCTAAAAATAACTGCATTTATTGCTCTTGTGGACAATTTTTTTGTTTTGTTTTGTTTTGTTGCTGCTTTTCGTTTTTTTAAATATTATTATTATACTGACAAATATCTAAATTAGAAAAAAAATGGAAAAAAATTATTTTACGATTTTAAGACAATAGTTTGAATGTGGGAGAAAAATGTCATACAACCGTGGCTCTCCAATTGTATGTCAGACATTTTCAACTGGTACAGTTTGAGTAAAGTCTTGGCTAATTGACTAGTTCTAAACTTCGGGCTTTTTTCTTTTTGAAGATTTAATACAGCTATAGATGTTTGCAAGTTGTATTCGGTTCTCAAAACTTTGTAGACAAATGGTTCTCAGAAGGAATTTCAATAGTATCGGTTGCGGAAAAGTTACATTTAGGTAGCAGTTTTACGCTAAAGGCTACCACTTTGACTTTGCAGTAGGATTTGGATCTTAATCTTCTCACTCACTTAACTGGTTGTTCTTCTTTTGGAGTTTTAGAAAAGTTGGATAGTAAATTGTTTTTTTTTTTTTTAATTATAAAAAGTTGAAACATGGTTGAAAAGGGTTGTCGGTGTAAGTTAAAAAAAGTTAGTTGTTTTTGGTGTTTAAAAAAAATACTTTGGCTGAACAGGATGGTTTTTTGAGCAGTAGTTTGATGTTGCTGTTTCTTCATTGATCAACGTTACTTATCTGATTAATAATTTACAAATTTCTATTGCGCTAGTCAGATACATACAAATTGTTGTAGTATTATAATAACTCGACTTTCTCCCCTCAAAAACAACGTTAAAAAAACACTTTGATGAATTGTTTTAAAACATGTTATTTAAACGTTGATACATTTTTGATGTTGTTTACTCTGCTCTTTTTTTTCTTTACTTTTTTGCACATGTTTAACGAAGCCAATGGTATTTAAGTGAAAATAGGTATGGCGTAATAAAATGTTGCATGAGAAAGAAGAAAAAATTTCTAGTTATATTTTAAAATTCAATGTGTTCAATTTTATTTTTCTGAACTTCAAAAACTGTTTTTATGTTTACCTTAATTTTGTTTCTGTGTTGTTTTTCAATTTATATATTTGAAAGTAAGTGCGTATATGGATGATTCTGTAATTTGACGGTTTACCTCTCTAATGATTGGATTTCCAATTTATCCGCGGTTGACAGGCCATTATCTGTTGTTATTTGGGGGTATTATACAGCTCTGTGTAAAAATGCAAATAATGAAAAGGAAAAAAGAAATTTTAAAAACTAGTTTTAAACCAAAAAAAAAAAGAAGGGCTAATTAAGTTGAAAATAAAAAATTTTTAATTTTGTTGTGAAGCAATTCAGTATTTCCTTTTTCTTCTTACTGTTGTTTTTTTTGCACTTTTTATTCCCAAGTCTAAAATTTTTGATTTCAAATGCGAAAACAGAAGTACGGAATGATGTTTTTGATCATATCGAAGACTGGTATTGTTTCATTCAGTGTTTCATTAAATTTACAAATTGATACTGATAAATTTCAAGGTCAAAGGAGAAAAAAAGTACTGTATAAAAGCTTACGCAAAAAGAAGAAGTTGTAGTTATAGTACATTACTGTATAATTCAAGTATGATAAATTTTTACTGTTATAACTGATAAGCTGGAAACGGGTTGACACTATTCAACTGATAACCGTTAAAAAGACGATTAGATTACTGTAAAATTGGTTTTTCTGGATAAAACTCTGAAAGGTGCTAATTTTACTATTTTTTTATTGTGAATAAGGGAGGTTAAAGAAAGGCTGTACAACTGAATAATCTGTTTCACAGCTGTATATTACCTGAAAATGTGTTACGTATTTTTGTGGGTTCTTTTGAACGGACATTTTTGGTGTGACATCTCTTAGCTAAAGCAACTGAAAGGTCACTGT